ACACACACACACACACACACACACATATATATATATATACCACACAGGCACAGACACGTTCAAGTACACACACACAAACGCACACACACACACATGCACGCATACACAAGCGCACACACACATACACACACACACACACACACACATATATATATATATATATACATTTACATGTTTATATATGTGTTTATATGTAATAGAATTTCATGGATAGAAGATTGTTTGGTTGTACAATATTTTGATACCTAAAGACATGTTCATATCTAGAGTTACTCGTCTGCGAACTGTCTGGGTTTCTTGCTGATACTCTCAAATAGACAGAGATAGCCTAACACGCGTTGATGGTTTGATAATGATTTATTATAGCTGTCAACTTTTGACGACGTGTACTGTTCTAGTATCGTTTGAGTCTAAATGGTCGATGATCTCAAGCATACAGAGGAGTTAGCATTATAAAATAATATTTAGTGGCATACAACTTGAAAAATAAGGGTCTAATACATCCACTATTCATTCCCTACCTCATTCCCTACTCAGCTCTTTGTACCTTGAAAGAGTGAAAACATACACACTGGCAAATTGGGCCGGTTATCCCTCAAGTCTATCGCCCTTAGAAGCAGCGCGATGGGGCTGGGTGAACGTTGGCTTGGACATGATCAAATGCAAAACATGCAGCCAACTACTCTGTTTTTCAATCACCAAAGTATGTATGTTTACAAGAAAAATAGAGCCCAAGATATGCATGTCTACAATAGAAATATAATTTACATCTGATTGTATACTGGTGAATTAGGTTGTTCAATTCTCAGTTATCAAGGAACAGCGATCTCGAGATGTGTTGAACAGCACACAAGATACCGTGTTCTAATGGTAATTAGGCGATTCCTTCGTATTGCTAAATTAGATGTTTTATTACGTTCGTAGGGCACTAAATCGATCGAAGCCGTGAGTGAAGTATACGCTGTGTACATTAAGCGGTTGAATGAGGGTCACAACAGCGCCTGTTTCTGGAGGAACAATCCGTGCCCAAAGTCCCTGGCGACAATCACGCTCAGAAATCGACCAGAAGAAACACGCCGCTTCGCTCAACGGGCACGCACAATTCAGCATCTCCTGGGTTCAAGTATGCTTCCTTTACTGGTTAACCGATGGATTCACATGATTACTAGGGTGTTAACTCGTGCTTGAGGTTGAATCCTGGATAAACCCAACTTTAGGCCTGTATCAGCACAGTGGCGCACTGTTGATCTTCTACTCTCACATCATGAAGCATTTTATGCAATCATATCGCAATGGTGTCAAGTTATAGTTGTGCCTGGAATGTCCGGCAGTTTACTCATCAGTGTGTCAATGAAACTTTCTTCCTTTTCAGATGACTATGACTTGCCACCTGGTGTCGAAGAAACACTATTGGCTGATGCCAACGAACAGACGAGCGTCATTGCAGAGCTGAGCGCCTTCCTTCGCACTCACTCGACACCGCATGCGTCTTCAGGTAGTCAGGTAGTTGTGGTCAATACGGCTGCTACTGATACACCTCCAGCCAATATCGTCACGAGGCCAGTCCACACCGAAAATTCAGCAGAGCTCACTAGTACACCTGCGACTACCGATAGCGCCCAAGCTATCACTGATAAATCACCAGCCATCCCTGGTACAGCATCGGTTGCAACGGCCATGACGCCAGCGAATTCAAATTCCAACGCTACACCAGCCCTTTCTAACGCCACAGAACGAACCAGCGCTCTGGTCACAGCGTCTGTTTTACCTGCGAACGCACAAGGGAAAGTCCCGTCAACATCATCGGCCAACAAAGTGATGGTACAGAACAGCGCAATTTCAATGTCCGTACCCGAAGCTGGAGTTACCACAAGTTCACAAACATCAAATGTAAGCGTACGCGAGACGTTGCAATCTACGACCCCCTTAGTGCTTGCGTTGGCCATTGCTGGGTGGGAGTCCGATGCAGGATCGTCCGAGAACAATGCTGGATTGGTATGCCGCTATTGTCAACGAACGTTAGCCATTCCGGTGAGGCCGAATACCAATTTACAGATCGATTCGGCCGGGCCTGCTGTGAGCTCAGGAGTCAAGTCTGCTGCCACGGGCATTGTACAGACCAAAAGTATAGAGAATGCAGCAGTCGACCCAATAAATGATATAGTAGGAATGCAGGATACTTACAAGAGGCGCAGGCTGTCCGATACGACGGAAGGTAAAGATAGTCCGTTTTGTGTCTGTTGCCGTCCGAGTCCGTATTCGATGTCGTACTCCCATATCGTCAAATCTCATTGAAACCCACATAGTCATCACCACCACCTTTGTGACCGTGTACTTCGTCCTCGCCTTTCATATTGCAGACTGTCGCAGAGTTTTTGTGGACCCAATTTATGCACACCGAACGTTCTGTCCGTGGGTGCAGCCAGTCGCAAGTGCAGCCGATCAGCTGGAGCGAACATTGAACACCGGTTGGCGGGTATACAGGTAAATCCTCGCCCCTCTGTGCACTGCCTATGTTCATTTGGTGGTCTCCGCCTTCTCCCTAATATACACAGGTCATGTAGTTGGCGCTCAGTACGTGTCGATAATTCATTTCCAACTTTCAACCTCTTGCGTACTTTTCAGAGACTTTCTTCTCCACTTGAGAGGCTCGCCGAATGGAGCGGACGGAGAATCCTCACCGTCACGAGCACAAATATCAGAGCACAATGCGCCAGCAACAGATTTGTGTGCCAGGCAAGCGGCAGAGAGGGTGCTGAAGTTCATCCACGGCGTAGCCGTAGCCGGCAAGAGGGCAGTTGTCGCGCCTGTCAAAATGTCATGACTGAAACGTGTGTCAGATTGTGATATGCGCCAGTCGCCCAAATATGTCAACCAAAATCGGTTCTAGCCTGAGCCTACGAAAACCTCGGGTCGAGGGAAGGACAAGTATGTTTCCTAAGTCGCCAACGATATGTAGTTACATCTGAAAGCGTTGCGTTGCGATGTACGACCTGGTACAGTAGAGAATAGTTAACGTACGGCACCGTACCATATTTATATGCCGGAAGGCATCGACCCCTCGACTAAGCCCCTTTGATAGTATGTGATATTCAGCCGAACTATGGGACCCATCGTGCGCTGTCGCGTTCTACTACCGGCTACAGCCCTGCATGATAACTTAGAAGGAATGCTGGAACGTCTGTGTAGTAGGAGTATAGTCAGGAAGTTCTTTGCTCTCCCTACGAAATGTAAAACTTGTAATCGCAAAAAGTACAGATGTAAATGGATAAAATTTAGAATAAAACAGACTGCCAACACTATATGTAAAGCACAAAACCCTAGCTGCGCATGGAGCTAAGGGAGTAGTTCCGTTTGGGTGTCTACTTTAGAAGGCTAAGACCGACAAGGGCTTGCTCCTTTCTACTTTCGTAAAGTATGTGTATTGGAGCCAGCGTTTCGCTGCCTCCTTTTCTTTCATTGTAACAGTAACCTATGTGGCGTAATAGAGAATGTCGATCGTGGCCTTATGCAATCTGGAGGCACAATATTTCGCTTGTGAAACTTTTGACACAAAAACACTTTTACCTACACAGTAGATCACTTTCAAAATTGATACTGTGCAGCAGTTGGTGACTTGGTGTACAAGCACGGCATGAAGGTGTTTTGGAAGTATCTTGTAGCAAAGGATAGGGACATGCTTTCTATCAGTTCGATATTGTTGAGTACTATGGTGAGCTTCCTTCACTATATGTCGACTTTCAGTGTACTTGTGCGGTGTGGTGCATGCTATCTGCCTTGTTCACTCCTGTCGATGCTACTGCAACCTCATGAGCGAACCATTGAAGTTCCACCATGTGGTGAGAGTGTGCATAAATATATACGAATTGAGCTTTACAAATTCAAGTAAATCACAACGGCAAGTCGCGAAGCTGCTCAGGGCGATTCTAATATTTAATATATACACACACTATAAGGTAACCCGTCCACCTCATTGAACAGGCTTCCAGTTGTTTGCTATCCAATTAGTCACATTCTCAACGTTGTCCTCCATGTCCTCAATTGTATTACTGTTCATCTCCACCACGATATCGGTTTTATAGCTGTCCCTGGCCTCCTCCAGCAGCACGTTCATGATCTCACACGTCATGTTATCTTCTAACTTCTTCTTGCCGTATTCTCTGGCCAACAAGCGGTCGTACAGATGGGCTGTATCCGTTCGCAATACAATAACCAAGTCGAACCATCTCTCAGGGAATAGTTCACATGAATGGTAGTCGACGACACACCCACCTTTGGCCAGCAGAGGCTCTAAGCCGTCCAGTAACTGTGATGGACAGTAATCGAGTGTACCTTTAAAGAAGCTGTATGATCCAGTGATTTGGTTGTCGTCGTACATTGAGACACGGTACTAATTGTACGAAAATACGGGTATAGATTCATACCTACAAACATTTTATACGTCTTTCGAATTGTAAAGGAATATTTCACATTTCAACTTCCATATTCTACTATTCTCGTATACACACTGACACACACACACACATGCTCCAACACCCCCGCACGCGCACATACACACACACATACACATGAATATGTCTACATGTCAGTAATATATATATATACACCTATTCTATTCTATTTGTTTGAAAAAAGGTGCTTCACTTGTGAACTTCCAAAACACATTTATGTATATATAAGAAACTGTGAATATCTATACGTGTTGTTTTGGAACAGATATGTATATAATAACTCATGAATACATGTGAACAAAAACACACACACGCACACAAACATGTATATATATATATATATAAATTATATATATATTTATATCTACACATAAATATATAAATACATACATACATACATACATGCATACATACCATACATACATGCATACCCACAGACAAGACACAGATACAGACACACACACACACACACACACATATATATATATATACATGTGTATGTATTTAAATGTGTATGTAAGTTTGCATGTATGTATATGTATGTAAGTATGTATGCATGTGTACATATATGTATGTATGGATGGGTATATATATATATATATATATATATTTATATACATACATATATATATATATATATATATTATTACACATATACATACACCACACACACACACA